GGTTATAATGATGAAGGAAATGAAATGCTTTACTCAACAATGAGCTAGTTACATGGACCAACTTCTCCTGAAACCACTGCTCCCATTTCCTCTCCCGCCATTTATGGTCGAAGAATATGGGATGTTAGAGGACATCCATGGCCTTATAGATTTTCCAAAAGGAGCTGACCAGTTCAGTGACGATGAGGACTTCAAGCTCTGGTTATCAACTTTATAATTGAGGCCAGGTAAAAAAGAATCACGCAAGTTAGTGATATTCTCAAGGGATTCTTTTGTGATTCTTTGATTTGTTTGTTCCTTCTTCATCATATTTAATGTCACCATTTGATTTTTCTTGCGGTGTGTTTGTAGTCAAGGAGGTTCAAAAGAGGCAGCGGCAAGGCTAGAGACAGCCGTTGGGCAGCATTATATGAGGAGTAAGAAATATACATGTAAGAAAGATGGAGCAGAATTTTATGGGCTGGATGCATATGGATTCCTTGTACTGCTTTTGTGGTTGAAGTGAATGCTATATGTTGCATGAACATAGAATAAGCAACAAAAACCGTTGTTGTTATATGATGAGCTCAGGAACATTAGAATCCGATCTGACTATATATTCCCATGCATGCTCTATTTTCTTTGCATACTCCCTTCCTACTCTCAGCTTAGAGATGGTTTGCGTGCATGGCCACCACGTATCATGATCAATCCACAATAATGAGTCATAAACCGACCTCTATATTGAAGGGTGGCTTAGTATCTGCAATTGTGGTGCCTAGTCTCTTTACAATTATTAAGCCAATCTCAGTTTGATCTGTTCCTCCGTGAATCCAAACTCATCCAAGGGACTTGTGGTCCATCCCACGGGCTTGTGCATGGGGGATGGCCAAAGGAGAAAGGGCAATGAGGCCTCAAACCTTTGGATTGTAATTGCAGTAGCACGTGCCAAGAAAACGCACTACCATATGACACGCGCGGCGCCAAGGATGGAGAATAAATTGGGAAATTTATTTATTTTAGACTATATCAATGATTTAGTTATCTCCCATTAGTTTGGGTAAAATAGTTAAACATGACTCATTATTTCTATCCATAATATAAGTCCTTTTTTCCAACCGTACTTGTTCAAAATATAAATATAGTTTAATGTTTCGCACATTAATTTAATATTTGATTATCTATTATTTTATCCTTCTCTATAATTAAACTTTTTAAAAATAATCTATTCATTAGAATTAATGTAATACGACTCTCGTTGAGAGCATATTTAAAAAGTCGTACAAATTCTGCACACGTTTGATGTTATGACTACACTTCAATTAATATTTTTTTGTCAATAAAATATAGTTAAACTAGATTTATGTTATGAACCGAAAATATATTGAAAAGAGAGGAGGGAGTAAATGAATAAGATTTTAAATAGCCTTAAGTCATCGACATTTAATCGAACAATTAGCAATATGTTAATCTTATAATTTGTTTGATTTATTGGGGAAAATATATTTGCAGATAATCCCAGTACTTATGACTTATTTTTAATAGACCAGAATTTGGATTATTAAATTCTTTAGACCAGAATTTGGATTATTAAATTCATTATTCTCCCTGTGAACTCTTATCACCTTGAACGAAAAATTTGGATATTTTTCTGGATTATTAAATTTATTACCCTCCTTTCGTCCTTTTTTTTTTAAAGAAAAAAGAAAAATAGAATATAACCCTTCTTGAATGACGCGCTGCGGTGCCTCGCCCCATCTTCGGCCGCCAGCTCTCCACTCGTCGAGCTTCGGTTTTCCAACGACGGCTCTGCCAACTCAGTCCAGTCTCTGCCCAGTATCCGGCGCCTTCTTCCAGAGAGAAACCCATTCTCTCCGACAGGTTGGATTCTCTCTCCCTCTTTCCTATCTCATCATCTTCCTCGAATAAGCGGCCTTGTTGAACAACCGTTGACCATTGGTGCGGAGTATATCATTTCTCTTTTATATGCTTGAGGAAAGAAATATCGTTTCTTCCCCCCCCCCCCCCCGATTTCGCTATCATTGTTGTATGAATATGAACTACTCGTGAATCAAAGAGACAGTAGATAACTCAACAATCAATATGTGTGGGTGCGCGCGCGCGCGCGAAACCAGTTTCTGAATAAGCCATAAAGTCTTATGCTTTACGATGCAATGGCCAATGCACCCACACTTCTGGGGACCACGATGCCAAATGCTAGAGGAGAAGGGTCTGTAAAGAAGAAAGATATCATCAACTGAGCAAATTGCAATTATACAGCTTTTTTTTTAAAATATAGATATCTTAATTAGTTTTTTAGTTAAGATAGGGCAATTAAATCCCATATCATGATTTCTTTAAACTAGATTTATTTGGTTAATTACTAGACAAGTTGGAATCAGTAATGTTTAGCATTGCTGTAACTTAGTGCTTTTTTGCTTCTGTGTACGTGTTTGCATAAATTAAGGCAACTTAGTGATTGTATTGTATCTTATTTAGTTTTTGTGAAGTACTAATTCAGTGATTCTTTAAACTTTTCTTTGCTTATGATTTAAAATATATTAATTTAATTGCATCCGTTTTAACCATAGTTGGGTTGCAGTTTGACCACTGAACTGTGAACCAGTATCTTGATTGATTCAACAGATTTTTTTTAATATTAAATATTGTTGTTGGTATTCTTAAATATAGGTATAGTTTTGAGTGGTTTGGTTCGGTTCTGATCGACCAAAATTGAAGCAAACTAAAATTTAATTAACTCGATTAGTTTTAGCATTATGAAAACAAATCAGACCTCACTTATAGTTGCTTTTGTGTGTTTGCTTGCATGCTTGCTTTTTTCTCCAGTTCGGTTCGGTTTGATTTATTTCTGTTTAATATGTATTGTTTGGTGTTGGTCACCCTTAAGTTGCTGACCTGATGCATTGCTGGTAAATCCAGAAACTGCAGCTTGGATTTAAGCTCTCTTCAGGATTTAGGAGCCTTTGAAAACAGAGGCAGCTAGAAGTAAATTAAATGGAGATAGATTTGGGGAAACTTGCATTTGACATTGACTTTCATTCATCGGATCAGCTTGTTGCTGCAGGATTGATTAATGGTGACCTGCATTTGTGAGTTGACTAATGTTCAGTTTTTCACTCTTAGCTGCTTCTTTCGTTAACTTCTTGTTTGTGTTTAATTATCCTTTGCTAATATGTTTCTGAACTCTTTCCCTGGCAGATACCGTTATAACCCTGATAGCACACCTGTAAGGTATTATATTATACATCTTACTGCTTTTGCAGTTGTTGAATATTTGACCTGCATGCATAGTGATTTATGTTGTTTCCAAATTTCATCCATATTTGGATCAATTTTCTTTTTTATAGCTACAGTATAATGGGGTCTTGCTAGGTTGTTGAAGCTCATATATTCTTGCTTTTATCGTTGATGGATATCTACCCAGTTGCTTTATGATTTTATGCTGCTTCCAAATTTTATCCCCGTTTGCATGTGTTTGCTACTGTTTATATTTATATAGTAGATTGGGGTCTTGCCAGATTGTTGGAAGTTCATGCGCACACTGAGTCTTGCAGAGCTGTTCGCTTCATTAATGATGGACGTGGTAATGCATTGTAGTTTTCCTTGCATTCTTTCTTTTCTATTATTATTATTGTAATTATCGTTATTATTAATGGGGTTTTTTGATAGTGATATTTTCATGAATATAATTGGCCTTTGAATTGCCTATGCTTCTATTTTAGCACTGTTGACGGGTTCTCCAGATTGCTCAATCTTGGCAACAGATGTTGAAACTGGATCTGCCATTGCCCGTCTTGATAATGCCCATGGGTGGGTGGATTCTTTTTCATGAAATGATTATGCTTTCTTAATGCTTAGCACGATTATTAATTCCGAATTTTTATGTGGTGGTGTTCTATAACGCAGGGCTGCAGTCAATAGATTGATAAATTTGACTGAGTCAACTGTTGCAACAGGAGATGACGAAGGGTGTATCAAGGTTACTTCTTTAATTTCATTTATATGTTTTGCTGCTGTGGAGAACATCTTGTATCTAGTGTCTCATTCTATTTTTACATGCCAGGGGAGGAGTGTTAAAAGACTAATTTAATCTTCCCTTCGCATCTTTTTTAACAATTATGAATTTATAATCCTTTGAGTCATGGTTTGTCCCCTGTAGTGCGTTTTTATGTCAACTAATTTAAAACATACCATTTGCATAGCAAGGACTTAGAGTGAAGTTTCCTATCATCATCTACTTGTTATGAACATTTCATGTCAACAGAATGAGCTTTTTCTCATTGCAGGTATGGGATACTAGGCAACGTTCTTGTTGCAATTCATTTGATGCCCATGAAGATTACATTTCAGACATGACTTTTGCATCTGATGCAATGAAGCTGTTGGGAACAAGGTATCATTTATTGCCCTTGTCAATCTAATTTTACTATAAATTTTATTTTTCGCTTAAGTGGATGCACTTCCATGCGCTGCATAAATATTTTACTTTTCCCCTACCCTATCACCTGTGACTTACTGATGCATGCTGAGTTTTTGGTAAATTTATTTTCCATATGAAGTGGCGATGGGACTCTATCTGTTTGCAATCTTCGAAGAAATAAAGTAAGTTATGCATCTATTGCTTCCTCTCTCTCTGTTTTTTTTTTGTTTTCCCAAATTTTTAGTGATACATGCCCTTTTATTTTCTTCTACTGATAGGTCCAAGCTCGATCTGAGTTCTCAGAAGATGAGCTTCTGTCTGTTGTTATAATGAAGGTACTGTATTCTCTCAGTCAATCTTCCTCTTTTCTGAGTTCTCCATGCATGATTCTCTGTTAAGAGTGACTGATCAATCTCATATTCCTTAGAATCGCCGTTTAACTGATTTGGAATTCTTTTTTAAATGCCAGAATGGCAGGAAAATTGTCTGTGGATCACAAACTGGAACCCTGTTACTGTATTCATGGGGATATTTCCAGGATTGCAGGTACTTGATGTGGCACTGGGTGCAATTGATGAAGTAATTTATTCTTAATTGTTAAAAAGGCAAAATTCAATGTTCGCTCTCCAGTTGGCTCTAACTCATATTCTTGCTTGATGGCTTTGATGTTCAGTGACCGGTTTATTGATCTCTCATCAAACTCTATTGATGCTTTGTTGAAGGTGAGTGGGTAACATGACTATTTCAGCATTACTAGGCTTTTACCTTATTCCATAATCAATCAATAAAAATTGTATATCTCAATTTCAGCTTGATGAGGACCGTATCATCACTGGATCAGAGAATGGGATAATCAAGTGAGCCTGTTTTGTATGAGGGCCTTGTTGCCTTTGATTCGTTCATGATTTTATCCTATGTTCATTGATATGCTTTTTCCAGTTACATTTATACTTGTAATAATTATTATTTTTTCTCAGTCTGGTCGGAATATTGCCCAACAGAGTCATCCAGCCAATTGCGGAGCACTCAGAATATCCTATTGAACGACTTGGTAATATACTCACTTGTAGCAAAATTTGAATCTTGCTGTATCTATTGGTGGGACTGACATATTGTTTGGAGCCTCCATTGCTTCAATTAGCATCTCAACTTGATCGCTGTAGCGAAGCAATTTTTCTGTAATTTTATTCCTGTTAGATTACTTTTCGTTGTTTGTTCTCTCTCATTGTCTACAATAATGTTTATTCACAAGCAATATATCTGCTTCTGTTTTAACTTTGGCTCCTGATCTTGATCTGGATGATGGGCCATGATTAATTTGATCTCACTATGCTGACCCGTGGTTTTCTCTGGTTTTGTAGCTTTTTCTCATGATAGAAAGTACCTTGGCAGTATTGCACACGATCATATTTTAAAGGTACACTTTTTACTTCACTTTTTCATATATCGCCTTGGCCAAAGTAGAATGGAGTTACTCACTATATCAAAGACGTGGAAATAACAGTGAAAAAGAAAATGGATGGAAAAACTAAAATAAACTAATTGGATAAGTTGATTCATGTTGATTGCTGTCAGTCGCCTGAGTTATTATTAATGATATTAGATGAATTGGTTCGCTAAAAATATAAAAACGACTGGAATGATATTTATATATTATCTTCTGAACTTCCTGGGACATTTTTTCTTTGGCAGCTATGGGACCTGGATGATATACTACAAGGTTCAAAAAGCACACAAGGGAATGAAACGGAGGTGATTGATAGCGACGGGGATGAGATGGATGTAGATGCTAATCCTTCTAAGAGTGATAAAGGTATGATCTGCATTGTTGTAGTTCTAGATGTTATAAATGGCCTACAAATACATACTTGTCACGTCTGATGCCTTTCAATGAATGGCTCTGTTCAGCAACGTGGCTAATTTAACTGTTGGGACTGGGAGATATGATACATGATTATTTGGAGGTTATTTCTTGTACTGCATTTTATATCGTTACCTTTGCAGGGACCAAGAGAAAGAATGCAAGTAATGGCCATGCTATAGGTGGCTCCAACAATTTTTTTGCGGATTTGTAGATTGCTGGAACAAAAATTTGCTGTTTGTGTTGATCCTCCAAGAAAGGTGTCAGTATCGGCTTGCACAAGTCAAGGTTGCCAACTCCTGGAGAAGCTCTCCTGGTTGGATAATTTTGGTAGTGATAAACAAGAGATAAATACGTAAATGGTGTTTTTTGTGATCTTGATTTCCAAATGGTTGGAATCTGAAGTTTCTTTTGGTTTTGATAGCATGCCATGTTTTCCGGGAATACAATATGATAGTGTTATCCATGCCAGTTTTGCATCTTTATATCACACTTTATTGTCAAGCAGCGGTTTCCATGTAAATTAAGTTTGTTTTATCCAAATAAATCATTCTTCATCCCTTTTTAATTAAGAACAAAACAAAAAGTAAAAATAATTTTTAAAATAAAAAGTACTCCTCAAATAAAATTAAAAATTAAACAATGTCATTAAAAATATGGATGATATTTTAAAAGAAGGCCACGTTGGGAGACTTTTGGCCACAATCTGAATAGAAAATCAGGTTAGATAACGTGGTGAATAAAAATATGATTTTTAAAAGGGTTAAACACCGAATTAGTTCTGAGAAAGTTTTCACTTGCTCCTGCTCCTCTCTTCGCTTATGGAATTCAAGAGGCGATTGGATAGCATAAAAAAATACTATTTTGTAAATCAAGATGAATTTTTTAAAATTATAATTTAGTTTCCATCTAAATACTCTTCTAATAAGGTTCTATTGGACTGGACCCACTGGTTCTTTACCCCAAAAATACACACACACACGGGGACACACACTAGTCTACAAACGAAGTCTAGTAGGTAGAAGGTAGTATTATGTTTATTTTTACGTGTTTTCTACCGCATACAGAAATAACTTCAGTTTTATGTCTTTTATCCTTAGTTCCGAGCTCGAGAAATCCCTTCCGTTGGACGCAGAGCCGTAGACACAAGCTTGGGATTCAAATTCAGGAGAAAAAGAAAGAGAGGCAATCAATTTTACATTAACATGATTTGAGTTATACTCTTTTGATCTTTAATATAAGACCAATTTAACTAATTTGATTAGATTAAAAAAGTTAGGAAAGTTAGTTAATTTTAAGAAATGTGACATATTTTTTCTAAAACACCATAATTATCTTTCTTAATACCCCTCTCCCTTTCTATTTGATTATGGTTAAAAAAATATTCATAAGGGTAATTTAGAAAAAATTGATAAATATGAGAAAAGGATTTTATGTTTAGAACCAAAACTAATACAATAGTTAGTTTCTATATTAAGGATGGGAAGACTATTATTACACTACGTAGGAAAATATATTAATTAATTTCAAAGCAAGCAACCACCCAACCAGCCGCTAACGGATAATCAAAAGCATGTCTCCTTCGCCGACGTGCACTGTTCAATCTCTCCCACCAACATCACATGCCGCTTTCCTTTCGCGCTGCCAGAAATCTCCGCCTCCAGCATGTGTCAGTAGTACTAGTGAACGGATCAGAACGCTATGTGTAGCTTCTGCCGATGGAAGAAGTGGAAAAACTACTAGACCGAGCTCAGACGACTACCACGCTACCATAAGAGCTCTCAACTCTAAAGGCCGATTCCCCAGAAAATCCCTCGGCCAGGTTCTCTCATTTCTAAATCTGTTTGTTTCTGGAGAAAATTCTGGGAACTATACGTTTTTTTCTCCCTTTTGGTTTTCAAATGGCCGTAGTTTTAATTTACTGTTTGGGGACTTTGATTCCGTCATTTTGTCGAGCACAGGCTAGGTGTGCAGATGGCTGCTTGGTATTAGTTGGAAGTGGCTTCTCAATTGTATTCTTTTATTTTTCTGCAGCATTATATGTTGAACTCTGATATCAATGAGGAGCTGGCTCGAGCGGCTGGTGTTGAAGAAGGCGATGTGGTGTTGGAAATTGGGCCGGGAACGGGTTCTTTGACTAATATTCTTTTAAACGCTGGCGCATTTGTTCTTGCAATTGAAAAGGTTTGCTGCTGCTTTTCATTAAGGAGTTTTTCTTCTAGACAAAGATACTTTCTTTTCTCCAACCTGCTGATTTCTTCATGGTTTGCCTAATTGTTGACGTCTAAGTAGGTTTGCATTTCTTCTCCAACCTGCTGATATCTTCATGTTCTATATAAATCTGTGCGTTTATATGTTATTCGTCTTGGCATAATAAGTCATGTCAATGCTGCATGCTGTGTAAAAACATTTACTTTTGGTGTTTTTCTTAGTTCCTAAACGGTTTATAACCAATGGCAATTGAAATTTGCTGATAACATATTTTCCAACTCATCAGCGAGGGAGGTTGCATATTTCTATATTTTACTTGCGCTCAAGATTTGTGATTTTATAATTCTGTTCGGATTTAGGATGAACACATGGCTGATCTCGTGAGTGAAAGATTTTTCGGCACACAAAATTTGAAGGTACGACTCCTGGAGACATTTCAACTTTATATTTCATGTTGACGAGCTATTTTTTCATAATACACAGATAAAATTTTTTATTTTCAGTCCAGTGGCTTTCCTTGCCTATAGTTTCTGTGTTAAAATTTTAACCATTAGGGACCTTGTTGGATGTACTGATTATGAATAATGTTGATATTGTAATACCTGCAGGTATTGACTGAGGATATTGTTAAATGCCATGTCCGCTCTCATTTATTGTCGTTGCTTGGCAGCACAAGGCAAATGGATCCAGAAACCAGACAGGCAAAAGTAAGGATTGCACTTCTTATACATAAAGAGAATTGCTAGTTTTAGAAAATAATGGACAAAGCATCTCTGATCTGATGCCGTTATCTTGATTTTCAATGCTTATATTGGCAATACATTGAGTCAGATGACATAGTCAGTGTAACCAAAATTCTAGTACGTGGTACACCCTAGTCCTATGTGATAGAAGAAATAAGCTTATTAGATTGCAGATTCTAAAAGCAATCTTTTGATTTTAAGAGTTTAATATCCTTTGTTGGTGTACTTGTAAGGATATTATTATAGAAATTTGCCCAGGTTTGTTATCTCTAGTTCAATGGATTACGCTTCAATTAAGCATGAAGATCAAGCATAATGCTTTCATTTTTGCTCTTATATGTCTTTGCGAGTTACTGTGCAACACTAATTTTAGTCGTTCCATCCTTTATATATTGTCATTAGTGATTCTCTGTATGACTAACATCATAACTGGAAGTTATGTGTTGAATTGGATATCCTTAGAATAGCTAGAAATTCACTTAATGCAAACTTCACCGTTCTTCTCTGGCAGTAAATTATCTGAGACTTCCAGAAAATGTATTATTTCCTTTCTTACTTCTTCAGTAATCTGTTATGGGTATTCTTTTAGGTGGTTTCCAACCTTCCCTTTAATGTAAGCACAGATGTGATCAAGCTTCTTCTTCCAATGGGTGATATTATCTCACAAGTGGTTCTATTACTCCAGGTTAGCATTGATAGCTTTCTCATTATATGTTTTGTTGTGAATTAGATATGTTGTATCAGAGATTCAAATTATTGGTGGACCTATATCTAACAGCTCTTTCAATCGTTACTCTTTGACACGGTATCGAAACTTTCATAACCATTAGTGTTACATTCCTTCTTGTTTCATGTGTCACAACTCAATTAAATTTCAGTACAGAGTAACAAAGCTTGTGCTTTGTGTGCACTTCCAGCCCTAAGAGCTTTTTATATGAGAGAATATGCAAGATATAAGAATAACTCCTTGGCCTATACACTACGGGATTGCCTTTTCTAGGATAATTGGTCCATGAAATGTTGATAAATTTAACCTTCCAAGATATGTTTGCCATTTATTTCCATTTATCATTCTTCATTCCTATCGCCCCATGTTGGCCTAGAATTTCTGATATTCTCATCCCAATTCACCGTGCCATTTCCACCCGACTTGATCCCAATGTTCAAGGATATCTCGTATTCTATTTTCGGGATGAAGAATCTCCAACTCATTAGAATAGGAGAAAAATACTAATGAAACCTAAAGTCGTGTGCAAACTCATTTTTAAAAGGCAGTTTGATCAGACAGAAACTAGAGTGATGAACAGAGCTTCTCTCTCTCTGTTTTTTTTTTACTAAAAAAAATGTAGAAATTTATATACGAGCACCCTCTAACATTTTTTATTCTTTATTATTATTATTTTGAAGATTTAACCTAATGGCATTAGATTATGGAAGCCCTTCACAATGTTAAAACAAAAAAGGGACTTGTAAATATAACGACGATTATGGAAACTGAATATCCTTGCAGGAGGAGACAGCTTTGCGCTTGGTTGAATCATCTGAGAGGACCTCTGAGTATCGCCCCATCAATATTTTTGTTAACTTCTACTCAGGTACTTATGTAGTAATTAAATAAATTATGATAATGGTCAAGAGAAAAATAGGGGGGAAATGCTGAACATGAGATGCGCATGAATGAGACATGAGATAAACAAACCTTGTGCCTTGTGGCATGCAATAGTGTCCTATGCTTGCAAAGCTGGGAAGTAAATGCGATGTGGAGGCTGACCGTTATGTTTACATCTGGCTTGCGTTACGAATTTTCATGAATTATTTTCAGAGTCATATATTTGAAGTTTAGACTTGATTTTTATAGTATAAATGTGTAATATGTATTTTATGGCCCACCTGAATCAACTGTCAGATTGAGTTGAATCAATTGACATGTGGCCCAATAGCTTCTCGGGTTCAATGGCTAATCTAGTTTTAGAAAGATTGCATGCAGTCCCAGTTCACCACGGATTGCTTATATGTCAAGCTGAACTGTGAGAATTTGATACCTAGTACCAGAATTTGCTTGATTGAATGCTAAAGCTGTTGTTTATCAATTTTCTTTGCAGAGCCAGAATACAAATTGAGAGTCCCCAGGACAAATTTTTTCCCTCAGCCTAACGTAAGTGATTATAGTCCACAAATATGACTACTATATGGTGTTTGTGCTGGCATCTTCTTAATCCATGCGGGCAAATAGACTTTTTATTTAGATCTTGAGGTTAAGTTCGCCAGCCCTCTTTATTGATTCAGAAAGTGCAGCAAATATTAATAGAGCCCTTGCTTGTCTAAATGATACTCTTTAATATGAATGACATAAGGACAGCTATCATGAGAAACAAACACAAGAAAGTGAAGAGACATTACTAGTGATTAAAGTAAAAACATTTTTATGCCTAGATAGAAAATCAAACCTAAAATATAATTTGTTAACAGAGAACCTGAAGTGTATTATGATCGCAAGAGTTCGTAGTCATTGTGACTACTTGTTTATAGGGTTTCTATAGTGGTTCATTCGAAGCTATTGTAGAGTGACAGCATAATTTCTGGGTTGGATCATTAATCAGTTATTCATTTTTCATGTTTGACTAGGTTGACGCAGCCATTGTCACATTCAAGCTGAAGCAAGCGAGAGAATATCCCCAAGTTTCTTCCACCAAAAGCTTCTTCTCAATGGTAGCTCTTTTCAAATAACCATCCATTGAGCTTTTATAAATTTTCTTCTCAATCTACTTCTCGCTACTGCGTATCAAGATGTGATATAATTTTCTTGATGATGTTACTCATTGCTGCATGTTTGTAGGTTAACTCAGCATTCAACGGGAAACGCAAAATGCTGCGGAAGTCACTTCAGCACATATGCACATCTGTAGAGATCGAAGAAGCTTTGAAAAGGATAGATCTTCCGACTACTGTGAGTGATCAAATCTATTGCTCTCAACAAACGCTCATTGGCTATGATGTTGTAGTTTTTAGTGATTATCCTTTTCTTGCTTGTACCTCTGGTGTTCACAGTCAAGACCTGAAGAACTCACATTGGATGATTTTGTTAAGTTGCATAACTTGATAGTGAAAGGATAACAATGTAGATTTCCTTTTGAATTTCTTACACAAGAACCTTGCAGAAGGTCCAACAGTTTCAGATATGAGTAAGGCCCCTTTTCATACACAGTGAAATGCAGGTTTGTACCCATGACCTTTATGCAAACCACAGACTCGTCGTTTTTACCACTAGACTGCGCATAACATAGTGGCTTACCAAGGGTTTTTCCGTTGTCACAGATTTGGAAGTTGAAACCAAGCAGTGCACTAAAAGATGAAATAGCGCATATGACTTTCCCAGTTCAGGGATGAATTAGAGAGCTAGATCAGGAACATTTTTTCCTCATGTTTTTTAGTATAATAGTAGCATGCTCACAACTGAAGCAGAAATGCTGTTTCAAACCATATGTCTGATCGCAATGTGTTTTGTCACCCTCTCACCAAATACACAAATGCACAGGGCCATCTGTGGAAGATCCAAATTAATGTAAAGTCAGGTCAAAAAAAGTGCACTCCGTTGTGCACTTTGTAATGTTGTAATCTACTGCTAACAGAGGCAATATATGTAGCTCAAATGAACCCAGTTACATTTAGGGAGCAATCTATATATCCTATCCTGATGACATGACTGGAGCTTCCTATTTTAGCAAATCTTGAAAATATTAGTTCCGTCCATCTTGCTCATAAAAAGAACCCTTCATGACAGCTTTTTCTTTCTTGTTAAGCCATCCAGATGATTTGCCCTTTTTCTTCGCCTTTGGCCAACAGATAATTTTCTTGTATGAGATAATCAGTTCTGATCTATTGTGTTAAACATGCATAGTTACTTTTTTTCCAAAAAAAAAAAAGGTTTGTTCTTAATAATGAGGTGAGTGCAGTAGATTAAAAAGTTTGTTAAACAAGCATTGTTACTTTTTTTCAAACGACTGGGGGAGGTCTCAACATCGCCACAAGTCATCCTTCCAAATACAGACCAGTAAAAGAACTTAAAAGCCTCGAACGTGTAGGTGCCATTCAAAATACTTGTCTCTGATATCACGACCAATATTTTTACTTTATTGAGTCCGTTTTCCCGTGGATTGAGGAGTGTGAGAAATAAATATAGCTTGTCATTAATAAACCTCACAATGGATTTCATTATGTACAGAATATATGAAGACTGATAAATTGATCTTCTATTCTGAAGCAAGACACTAACAAAACAAAATTAGCTCCGCAGCTCTTCTAGTCATTTTCATCAAAGCCAGAACAAAAAAGTGAGCACATGGAGACTACGATGTTACCCACAACAATGTTCAGCCTATCTGCCCTGTGAGGGCTACAAAATGATGAATATCTCTGCCTTCATGCTGAAGACTAATAAATAGCCCGTGTTTCTTCAATCGCCCGTACTTTTCATCCATGAAACTGATACACCAAATCCAAAGCCCTCAACCTCATCGCATGCGCATCAAAATCCTTCACTCTCCCAACCAAGCCATCTTCGGACAACCGCCTCTCCTCTGCCGCCGCCGCAGTGGACGGTGAAAGCGGCCGCTTCGGTCGCTTGTTCTTTATGAAGCAATCTCTCATCTTCTCCTCGACCTTCTCAATTGTGCCTCTGGAAATCTCCACGTTTGCCTCAGCCTCATCGTCGTCATCCCCAACCTCCATGGGTTCGTTTCCGTTGGCATCTTGGTTGACGCCGGAGGCAGAGGAGAAGGAGTGTTCGGCCGGGGGGCGTGGCGGAGGGGGGAAATCGATTGTGGAGAGGAAATTGGAGAGATTGCGATGGGCACCGTGAAGGGAAGTGCAGATTTGGAGGAGATGGGTTTGGTCGGACGCGGAGGGAAGTTGTTTTAACATGAACGTGGCTTGTTCTAGAGAGAGGAGGAGGTCTGCAAAAGGTGGAGCTTCAGCCATGAAATGCATAGACCCCTTCATCACCCTGCAACTCACGTTTGATTACATAATTATAATTAGTTTTCATAATTGTTAACACAACAATAACCCTTTTTAGTTATTGGGGGCCCAAAATACCTTGTTTGGGCTTAAGACCGTTCACTGGGTAATCTTGCTCACAAGTTTAGGCCCAAACAACGAAAGCTATCTAAGAAGGTTCTTTTTGTCAAAGCAAAGGGCCCCGGCCTGAGCTCCATCTATTTTCGTTTGCCTCTTTTTGTTCCAACTGCTTTGGTAAATACTTTTTTATTTGGTAATATAGATTTATATATATGTGATATTTCATTGGAAAAGGTCTATTTTCCCGATTCCATTCCACAAAACAAATTTTATCTCACGTTTTATCTGTGTCCCTTCATTTCAATTTTGTTTAGCGTAACTTAGCACATAATTAATTTCAAGTCACTGTTCCTCTAGAGGTTTTATGTTAAATATTGTCATGTGGTAGTGTTAAACTATAAATATCATTGTTATGTTTCGAATTAATGGTCACATGAAAAAATGAAAGTGCCACATAAGCTTTCTTATCCAATCTTTATAGTCATGGAAATAAATCAGAGTGGGATCCAAATAATTTAAAAACTAAATTACTTCCGGTCCTTAATATAAGACTTTGTTTAATTTTTATTTTGGTTCTAAATATAAAATCCTAATCCAATTTGTCTCTCATATTTATGTATTTTTTTCCCAATGTAGTCTCTTTAATAATGGTAATTCTAGTCAAAACACTTAATTAGCAAGGACATTTTAAGAAAAACAACACCTATTTATTACAAATAACTAACTTAACTTCTTTTCTTAATCTACTCAAATTAGTCAATTAACTCTTATATTTAGAACTAGGACGATTTGCTAGCATAATGATATAGAAAGAATCAGAACTAGTAATTAAGATAAATCTATGCATATTGTACCAATGATAAATACAAGTGAGAATGAATCTATACAATTTTCACAAACAGAATTGTTGATGCCCCACGGACATTCTATAATGAGGGGCTAAAATTGGAATTAAATCTATGCATATTGACGCTTGCTAAGCAGCTCATTCTTGGGAGACTTGTTAAAAGTGGTAGGCAGTGTTACGCGGAGGGACCTCTCTATAAGAAGGAAACTCCCTTTTCCTTGCGACGTACCTCGAATCCATTCTGTAACAAGAGATTGGAATCAGGACATTTCAAGCCAACTAGTCATCATTTATTTTTCATAATTCATATTCGCGACGCCGAACATCTCACGCAATTCATAATTATCTTACACATTATCATAATACAAAGCAGTACATCATATATACATATATATATCAAACTCCCTTCAATTGTGTATATGAAAGAATTTTTTATAAGAAATAGGAATAATTTGTTCAAATTTTTAGTATCATTTTTTTATTTTTATCCTCATTTATTATTGGTTTGTCTCACTGCATTAATCACCCACACACTCACCCTCAATCACCATCTCTTCACAGGTGAAAGTGTTTTTGAAAAATAGATTATATTTTTTTTTACATATTTATTGCACATTATTTAACCAGTTTTAATTAACTTTGATATGCAAATCCTGTTATTTGTCTCCTCTTATCAAGGAAAAAGTGGAGGGAGTAACTTTATAAGGTCTCGTCTCATCCGAATAATCTCTGTACAATCAAATCTTGTCATATTAATTTAAGTGGAATTTTTGCTCCAAACAATATAATGAACCTGAATTTTGTATTTTACAAAATATGTAACAACGAATTAATGCTTGAAAAGGCCGGCCAACGTAAAGATTGTTATTTGTGCATATGATATCAATGAATCTATTTTAAACTACTGTCTCCAGTCCTTAACAATATGAGTTAGTTAATTATGTATTAGCTAAAATTACAATGTGATGAAACATTTAACATATACAATTACTGTAAGAACTACCTTAAAAAAAAGATTAATATAGAAGATAAAGTGAATTGAGGTTTTATATTTAGGACTACATTAAAAATCAAATTAACTCCTGTGTTAATCAAATGATGGTAAAAGATGATTGCAATGAACGTTGGGAAATCTGCTTTCATTGTTATCTTATGGAAACAAAATCTAGTCGATCTAGTTAAGATAAACAGCAATTATATATATAAATATATGTGTGTGGGTAGTCACTTAATAAATCTGCTTCCAGACGTTTAATTGATAGGAACGCCGACGTACCTTCGCCGACGATCTCTCTCTCTCTCTCTCTCTCGTGTCTGTCTGTCTGTCTGGTTTTATAGGCATCTGTGTGGCCATGTACTAATTATTTTTTAAGTGATTTAAATAAATCTTAACAAGAGATTTCAAATATCCAGATTTCCTATGTCTTCGCATTTGTTTTCATTATTTAATCTTTTAAAATATGTTGAAGATAATTTTCGACCAATTAGATTCCACATATATTGGCTCTGACAATATATTTTATCTTTATAAGAGATTTGATCAGATTTATCCAACTTAGTGGATGCGTTAAATCCTATATTTTTATGTTTCCAGTTTCTGTAGTATCATTTTCAACAAAAAATTCCTTTTTATTTTAAATTAAAATACTAATCTTAAAATTCACTCAGATGACCGAATGAAGAATCAAAAAACACAAATTAGATTATAAAACGGAACACATTTTTATTTTTCTTTTCACCTAAATGCTTCAATTTCATTATTATTTTCTTTAGCAATGCGTTTATATATATTTATATCTCCAGATAAAAACAGATCCACTGAAAGTCAAACGATCGCAAATCCGTCCCTCTTAGAGAAGAAAAAAAATTAAATACTTTATCTTAAATTTAATATAATTTTTAAGTTAAATGACCTACCAACAACTCATATAATCAGAGTTCTAATTGCCCACGGAATAAGTGGGAATGTATTCAAAGTAATGAGATGTAATAACTAGGAATGTAATATAATGTTATGATGATTACAAAGAAGTTGTTTGGTCCATCATTAAGAATGGTAAAATTAAATTTAAATTAAAAGGAAACAAAATTGAAGGGACAAAAATAGCCTTAAATAAAATCATTTATCCATGTAAGAAATAGGCATCTTCATCCCATAATCCAACGCTAGCAAAGAAAACACAATCATACGTGCCTTTCTTGTTCGTTCTTCAGTTTCCCTTCCCGCCTTCATACAACCGCAATAGGCAGTCTGCCAAGAGAAGGAGGAAGGGTTAGGTAGCGCATGGAAAGGTTGTCAGTGGGAGCAAGGAGGAGGAAAGGTCATCGGTGAAGGAGCATTGGGTGGAGAAAGATAATGGAGGGGCAAATAATATCTTTTTATTGATTCCCACATGTTGTAATCTCTATTTTTCACTTTTAGAAGTGTAATCTCTATTACCTTATATAATGTAATCCTAATGCATCAGGATTACTTAAATAAACCAACCAAACGCTTGGAAGAGGATATTGCATATGCATTACAAGGAATTCAAATGCAATGCATTGAACCAAAATTTTCATATCATATACTCCCTCTGGTTCTAATTATAAGAGCTAGTTGACTAATTTAAAGGGATTAAGAAAAGAAGTTAAGTTAGTCATTTGTAATAAATAGAAATTGTCTTTTCTAAAATATCCTTACTAATCAAATGTATTGGTTAGAACTATCATTGTTAGAAGGACTACATTGGAAAATATATATATAAGTAAGAGACAAAATGGATTGAAATCTTATATTTATGACTAAAATAAAAATTAAATAAGGTCTTATATTAAGAATCAGAGGTAGTAAAATATATTAACTATTTATTTTATTTTAAAGATATTTATCTTTTTAAATAGAGTTTTACAATGTTGGATAATCAATTGAATTTAAATGTCCTGTGACTTAGTAAATAATCAATTTAAACCAAAATACAAATACCAGATTGTAGTCAATCCTTTATTTTTCGAAATAAACGGGCTCAGCAAAGTCATCATGGTAGTGTGGTTAATCCTTTATATTGGCTCCAGAATCAGATGACCTTTGCAGGAGTTGAATTTTCATCATCATGTTTAAGAGTAGAAGCAGTGCAATTCTGGGGATGAAGGTTGAATTTAGCTCTGGCTTTTAATGGTCGTCTCGTCTTGTTATAGGCAGGGGGCAGGGAAAGCTGTAATCTGTGGGTTACTGGAAATAGTGGAGGCTTTGCCTTTCATCGTGGACCAAAGAGTACAACAAGAGGGATCACGTCGAAATGTTCACGGTGCCAGACGATATACATGTATATATATAATATATATAGACACGCGAGAGAAACATTATCCCAAACCAGACTCCCCCATTCAAGAATAAAACATGAAGCTTACCCGAAACTGTAGCTACATAAATGGAGGAGACAACGCTACCGAAATTAGCAGAACGCAATGATAAGCCTGAGCCGCATGGCAATATGTGCAGGACAAGAACCTCATTCTCTACATGCTAGCTTATTATCAACAATGTACTAAGCTTTCAGCATGGCCAGGTAATCATCTATTATGGACATGGCTGATGACCGGTAGCCGGAACCAAAGAGGTTATAATGATTTAAGTAGTGATACAGCATGTAAAGATCTCTCCTCTTCTCAAATCCTGGCTGTTTGGGCATCACCTGACGATAAAATACATACATACAAGGAAATTATTATTACACACTTGCTAATCCACGTTTATCACATGAAATTATATGAGCTGACACCGCTTGTTAAAACCAACAATTATTGTTAACAACACAATGTTCGAGGTATTCTATTTGATTTGTAGTTCATAAAACCCATCTTTTTATTTCGCCAATTATTGACTGACTCCATGTAAAGTAGAGAAAGAAGAGTTTTTTTTTTTTTTTTTGGGTGACACAGAGAAGACTATATTGCACTAGTTCAGGTAAGAATGTTATACTCTATGCTCAATAAATCCTTTGCACCGTAAAGCAGATAGCATTATTACCTCAAAATACGAATTATAGAATGATCCTCCAAAGCCAGCACACCAGGACATTCCGAATTCCGCCTCATTGTGTCCATCTATAAAATAGGGCAACAAAGAACATAGTGGAAGTCATTTCTACAAATAATTTCCAAGATCACAAATTCAGTGAAGTCAAATTTATTTAGTATTGGCAGGCAACTCTTTTGCATAATGGAATCATACTTAAACTATTAAAGCTTGTCTCATTTTTTCACAAGGAGCAAAATTTTTCATCCTAAAAAAGTCCAGCGGGGCTTTCAAGCTCCTGTTCAATATTCTTTTGCATCAGAACTATTTCTATGCTGCATAACACTATTTTTTCACTTGTAAATGTCCGCAGATAAAAAACAAGTGTTGCATATACTTATGCTTCCGCTAACCATCATGACAATTGACCTTGAGTTTTAAGAAACAGTTTTTAATAGAAAGCACCAAGAATATTATGGACCTCTTCGGCTTCAATTAAGCAAATACATTCTTACGCGCACAATTAAAAGCATGGCAGTCCAAACCCAGATGTTATAATTTATTATCCCTGAAACGTCGTACCATATCACTTAACACCCTGCTTTGATTATATAAAGGTTGCAATCTGATGCAGAATAAAGGTTAGCAGTTAACGGGTAGGAAGAACTAATCCCTTTAGCTTCTAATTTTGTCACTGCTCCGCTCAATTAGTGCAAGTCCAAAACTAGTGTTACCGTAGCATTGCTTTTAAGAAAAAAGATCCTCTTGCCTTTTTGGCCAAACCTGGTCTTTAGACGAAAGATGACTTACAATAACATGCTGGGTCCAATATAACAGGCTCCCCGTTCTTGTCAGAGAAGATATTTCCACTCCAGAGGTCTCCATGTAGCAAGCATGGCTCTATTGCCACATTGTCGAAAAGGGGCCCCATACTTTTTACCAATCTTTGCCCTGTTAAATTTAGTCATCATGAAAAAGCAAAATCACATGACATGCTAATTACAAATAGAGAAAATTTCTTCGAAATAAATCTTCATGCCATCAGCTCGAGAGAATCTAAATTGTAATGACTGATAATCAGCATTATACTATGAGCATGAGAACACCTATAGTTCTCAGTTTCTCACTATGGGAATCAATGTAAATACTAAATTCTTTAACACCTGAAATAATAGTTCCATAGAAATTATTTAGTGAATGTTCTATGCACTTCACTCTTTTGAGTTGGATCACTCCACCAGGAAGACAGATAAAACTGAGGAACCCCAAATCAATAAGCTGCTACCATGGTCTTCACTAAATTTTAGATTGGACCAAGAAGAGACTTGCAGTTAGTTTAGCACCAGTGAATAAACTTTGCCAGGAGGCATTCATTCATATATTTGTTCAAGCATTTTCAACTAATCGGCTACAACTTTTATTAATATGAATCTACTAGATAAGATTTCAGACTAAAAACTAATCATTGGGAAGAAAAAACAGTAACTATTAATGAAAATTACCCTTGTCATATATAGTTCTGTCACCGTACTGGTCCAGTGCTAACTTAAGTTGATAACCCAATCTATGCTCACCATAAAACTGAATCCAATCTGATGACCAGGTGTTTATCTGTGGGGTGCTGCAAATAATATTTATGATGTCATTAGAATCCTATCTCTATTCAAGGATTTTTCATAACAGAGATAAAGTATACCTGCCAATGGTGTTATCAACATCAAAACCAAAACCTTTACTGGATTTTCCTACTTTATGCATTTCAGCAAGCTTCCTCCCTAGATCAGACTGGGGAACAAGAATAGATATCAGGATAACGGGTTTTACTAATCAGAAATAATTTCTAAGTAGCTTACCTGATTTCCTCTAGAAGCTCCAAATTCAATGAATTCCATAATGATGAAAGAACCACCGGTGGGCAATGATCCAACCTACGATACATTAAAAGATAAATTAAGTTCCTTTGAATAACTGGACTTACGCTGACATCAAAGAGCTTAGGAAACAAGTAGCTTCCATCACATTCAAGTTCAATTTTCAACACCTTAAATGGTTGAGGCACACGAATGGTCTTGGTTTCATACATTGCTCCTAAACCAAGAGCCTCTCCTTCAAACATTGATGGTCCAATACTCCTAACACAGTGTTCCAACCAGACAAAAATCTTAATATAGCAGAGGATCTAAAGACTTGAATGGGATAAAAAATATGCAGCATGCAGTGAGTGACATTTCAAAACCAAGGACCTCCATGGAAGTTAACATGTCATATACCTGTTTGTTTTAACAAAAAAAGAGCCAGCATCAGTGTCATAGCGACTAGCAAGATTGATACAACCTCCACCAATAGGATTGATTCTGGTTATCTGTGTGGCTTTTCCTTCAGAAAGAATCCACTCACGTATTGGATCATTGCTCATACTAGCCACTGAAAAAGGATTATAAAGTGATCAACCGCTTTTTTCCCCTCTGAGAAACACAACATTCATGACCTCAAATAACTCAAACGGGATATACAGTTTTAGCAGAAAGTCATCGCTTAGCCATCCAGCAAACTCTTATCTTTAAGCTTTCAGACTAAAATTGCACTTTTACCACGTACAATATAATCAACTCAACTAATTTGCTTCAGCAAACCTTCAATTGACCACAAACTATCGAAACATCACATATATAGGAAAATGAAAAGCATAAAGTTTCTTAGACCATCAGAATTATGCCCTCAAATCTAAAAGAACTCAAAAAAAAAAAACACACACACACATTGAAAATGTTGACCAGCAATATTTCAAACCCAACGAGGAATTTCAATTGAGCTCAAAAAAGTAATTTTTTTGTCCCTGGATATCCAAAAAGGAAAAAAGAAAACTAAAAAGGCAGCAGGAAAAAATGCTTGCAATGACTCCATGGAACTCAATGTAGAAGTTGCGGAAAAAATGGATTTAGTTCGTGCCATTACTTACAAATCAAAGGTTTGGTTTTGGTTATATAGTGATGAGGAAGGCAACGGAGTGAAGGGAAGAAGGTAGAAGGGGATATGACTCCAATGTGTGCAGCCATTAACCCGACCCCAAAGCAAGTGCACACAGAATTCTGCCAATTATCCCTAAAAACAACAGAACCTGAGAGCAATTATAATTCACAAACTGTAAAGTCAACTAAACTCTAGCATTATTAGCTTGAGCTGACATAAAGCTTTACTCACTTTGTCATGACATTTATCCTACAGGACATAGAAAGAGTGTTAAAAGAGAAGGCAAAAAGAATAAATAAATATTATTACCAGAGCAAACTATTCAGACTTCATTAACTTTCTTGAGATAAACAACTTGATTCCAATTCTAACCAAAAGCAATCATTTGAATAACTATGCAGTCTACGATATAGAGTTCTTGCGATGTTTACCCTCAAAAGTGAGAGTTTACTTTAAAAACCGCAAAGAGTGGAAGACCTTATATACTGCCATTTCTAAGCATTTATACAACCCATATGCCAAACTTTATATTTCAAGGAACAAAATAAAATAAAAAAGGCATAACTATTAACTAATATCCATTCTTACAAATCAAGAGGAAGATATCTATATAAAGTCTCAAGTCTTAACACAAGCAACCCGATACATCCCCCTATGCACTTTAGAATGATCAGGCAACAATAAAACTGCTTTAAGCTCAACCGTTTTTTTAACCCCTTTACGTTAAAGATACATGATACATCTTCCTGAGCTTTTAGCCTCATCTTTGTATCCAAAGAAGAGGGGGGAAAAAAAGATACATGATGGAGAAACTCTCAGCTTCTCAAAATGCCTGAATAAGACCAACAAACTGTTGGTTGAGATGGTAAACTGTCTCACCTCCCGTAAAGAAAAGAACACAAGTTCGAATCTCAGCAAGTGCACTTATTGGGAAGGCTTTAAGCTTAGCACTCCCGGCCCAACAGAGATTAGTCTTAAGTCCAAAGTGGCTTGAGGATACTCTGAATTATACCCAAAAAAAGAAATGTCTGAAAGAGAATAAGTGAAGCTAAAGTTTGTCCCATCAGACTAGAATTGAACAAGTCGTGCTTATTTGAATAGTACAGTGTGGCCTATTTTTCAGATTCCCTGCAATGCAGGGGGCTCACATCTAGTTAGCGATGAATTTGAGTATAATAAGACAACATCCTGCAAAATATTGGGTTAAGAAAAACTCAATATGTTAAGCAACAAGCATACTAGCATTGGGGTGTATAAAAGAATATGAAGCCAGCCCCACTGAATTCACGCAAAGGGTTCAACAGTTGCTAATGTATCCACATGATATCATCGGGATAAGTTAAATGAAAACACATACCCACAAAATCAGGACACGAGGAATGTAGCTCCCGAGAATCATAATGAGTAGTGAAAGATACAAAAATTCAAACACAGCAGAATAGGCAGGAGGAATCAAATTCAATATTCTAACCAACAAATTAATTGTGCTGTCTTCGCTACTTTCGGCAAACAAAAACCATAAAATCCCAAAACCCGAAAGGCGAGCTTCTAGTTTTTAGCTCCGACCAGCAAAATGAAACAAAGACAGGCTGAGACGCAGTAAGATAAGAGCAGACAGCAGACAGACACAAAGGAGCTAGAGAGAGGGAGGAAAACGGAAGTAAGATAGCGTCAGAGAGATTACTCACTTGCACGGAGGGGATTCTTCAGTGGAAATTACTCACCAGACAAGGGGATATGATTCCCTCCAACGCGCGCAGCCGTTGGTCGTTGTCTCTGCCAAGCGAGCGAACATCCGCGAAGTCTTACTATTGATGCATTTTTAATTTTAATTTTAACTTTTAATGTAGCTGTATTTCTTTGCCTTGCATTTTACATAAAACATGATTTGTTGTAAATTTTTAAAATATAAAGATATAAAATTTAAAAGAAAAAATTTAAAGTAAATAAAATAAAATTTAAATACTCTAAATCTAAATAAAATTGTGGTACTCCTCCTATTTTAAATGTAAGACTCATTTTACAGTATAACTTACATTACAAAATAGATCTTGCATTTAAAATTAGAATATATTAGAGAGAATCGAGATACCCTAATTTATTGGTTGCTAAAATTTTTATTAAATATCTGCTCAGCGTATTAGCATCAATATGTCTATGAGATATAAAAAGGATGACAAATTACACTAATTATAAATCATAAGCGATACGGTTTATTTATTATACATAAAGGCGTTTAATGCGATGGTTTTCCTTCCTGAAGCCGCAAGAGAATCCAACGACAAGGAGGCTTTGCCGAAGATCTCCGAAGTGCCATCTTACAAAGTTGATCTTAAATTTAATGAGAACATACTAATCAGAGACACTTGTTTTCTAAACAGGAAATGGGAAAACCCATTGCCTCACAACATAAGGTAATCATATAATAATGCCCTTTCGTTTCATGTACCTAATATTGCCTTGGGATTGGGATCATTTGTTCCGGTGAATGAATCGATTTTCTAAATGAGATAACTGTCATGAATTGATTTTACAGTACTGAGCAAGGGCTGATGCTGAGGGAGGGCCGCTCTTGAGTGTATTTATTCTTTTCTTCTTTTTTGGCCAAAGACTGTATTTATTCTACTCATTCTCAATAATCCATTACAATCCTTTTATACACATAAAAGAATGTGAAGATGTAACACGTGTTCAGAGAATGGTTTCTGGTTGTTGCAACAGAAATGAAAGCCAAGAGAATGGTGATTCTGGAATAGTCTTCGTGGCTTCGGATCATGTATTGACCAATCTCACTTGTGGTATCCATGTCAACAACAGGATCCTAAACATCTGGTAACGCCACTCCTGTCTTATCCAACACAACTCCACCTGGAAGCAGCCCAAAACAACTCAAAATGCCAGCGGCATCAATTGCAGCACACGCAAAATTAGAAGAAAAATGGGGCAAACACTCACAAAGTGATCCAAGTTATAATTAAGGATTGAAGTCGTAGAATTGGACATTTCATGGTTCTTTTTCAACCAATTAATGCGCAACGAAACACAGGCATTAAGACGGACCTTTGAGAGAGCAGGCAAGAACTAGAATGTTGTTGGTGACGGGGTGACTTCAGGGGCAATGTCATTTGCCAGGAAACAGGGTGACAGGGTCGGCTGCATTTGGAAGGAAACGATGCAGCAGAACACTTCACCATGCTAAGCTTAGACGATTTGCTGGAGGGAAAGCAAGTCTTGCTGAGAAGCCTAAAAGCTTTTGCATTGAATCGAAGAGAAGCTGCCGTTGAGGGATTCATCAGCCGCCACCTCTTTCCTTGGGCTGGGTGAAAGTCCTTTTGCTAACATCTCTTCATCATACTTCCTAGCCATGTCCATTAATCCCTTTTTCATAAGAGCACCAATCATAGCATTCTAAGCAGATGGATCTGGACGGCATCCGCCTAAAAGCTTTTGCATTGAGTTGAAGAGAAGCTGCCGTTGAGGGATTCATCAGTCCCCACCTCTTTCCTTGGCCTGGGTGAAAGTCCTTTTGCTAACATCTCTTCATCATACTTCCTAGCCATGTCCATTAATCCCTTTTTCACAAGAGCATCAATCATAGCATTGTAAGCAGATGCATCTGGACGGCATCCAAGTTCTTCCATTTTCTTCCACACCGCAAAAACTGGTCGAAGATATCCCCATCCACCGAACTTCCTCATTAGCATCACATAGGTGTCCATACTTGGACGATCTCCACTTTCAATCATCCTGTCAAACAACGCAAGTATCTCTCCTGGCTTCTTCATACAATCAAAAAGGAAATGATATGAAACTGCATTGGGCTGACATCCATTCTTACGCATAGTATCTAGTATTACCAGTGCCTCTTCGTGTCTGTTACTATCGCACAAAAGCTTGATGACAGTGTTATAAGTCACAATAGTGGGCTCCAATCCTAAATATTCCATTTCACGAAAGAGTTCAATTGAATGATCAACCCCTTCTGAAAGACCCATGGCACGAATAGCAATATTATAGGCCACCACATCAAGTTTCATATGTTTGCTCTGAATCTGCTTGTATAATTTCACAGCTGTCCCAGGCTCTCCACTTTTGCATAATATGTCCATATATATCGCATATGAACGCAGATTTTTTTGAACTCCTCTCCTGTCCATCTCTTCCCATAACTCCCTACACCTGCTCCACCGCCCCAACTTAAACCACCCGCGAAGAAGAATATTATAAATCTTCGCACTGGCTTCCGACTTTATATTCTCGTTCTTCCCAAGAACCAATTCCTGGGCTTCATGCACATGCTTGTAGTCACATAATGCATCAATAAGATTACAGTAAGAAGTTTCATCCTTTAAATTAAACTGCCCTAGCTTTTCATACGCCTCGATCGCTTCTTTCACCAACTGTGCCGACGCATAACGTTTAAACATGATTCGAAACGTTGCATGGTCCGGAAAAGAACACGGGAATTTCCGCATACGTTGAATTAAATCCCAGGATAGCTGAAACTCCAAGAACTTACCGAGAATGTCGAGCATGTGATTATAGGCATCGGTGGGGAGCTGGAGGCGGTATTCGCTCTGGACCCAGTTAAAGAAGTCGAATGCGCGTTGCCAGTCATTGCGGTAAGTAAGAAGAGCTTGGCGGACAGTTGTGGGATCAAGGTTTAAGGGATTCGGGTTAGGAATTAGGGTCTTGGCGGCAGAATTCGAAATGACCGGGAAATTTTTCTGGGCCGAATGGTAGGAAAGGATTTGGAGGAAGCCGATAGCATTGTGGGGTCTGATGCGACTTGTGTAGAGCGAACTCATTCGGCGGTTCAGTGTTTGCTGTTAAAGCCTCCGGAGAGGCTTTTGTGTAAAGACAGACACAAGCAGCTCTGCCGCTATCATAGATTCATAGTAGTGGTAATGATAATAATAATGAAGCAGCACTTGTTTTTTTTTTTATTTTGGTCAGAGCAGCACTTGGGTTAAAACCAGCTGAATTTTACCATGTTTTGATTTTGGTTAGAACTTGGAACTAATGATCGTGCTACTTAAAATTTGATCTCATCTTATTTTTAAACCCTAAAATTTAACTTTATGTTGATTTGTTTACAGATTTTTGGTCCTCCGTACATGGTAACCCTAATAATAACGATAATAATAAATTAATTAATGACGGTGATAGTAATGCAATGGCTATTCAGATCTAGATACACTCTTTGTTAGCTTCCTTGATCTCTAATCATTAAGGTTACTTATTGGTTAGAGCAGGTAAAATGGGTTGAACTCATGAGTCCAATCTGTCAACCCGTAAAAAATGACAGGTTAAGATTGACTAAAAGTCAACCCTTCAGCAAACGAAACTTTTTAACCCGTATCGTATAACCCACAACCCGTAGTAGGTTAACCTGCCAACACGCAGGCTAGCTCGTATTTATCTTTTTGATATTTTTAAATTTTATTAATTATTATAATTATATTATTATATTTTATATCCTATCTAAAAAATTTAAAAAAAATACTAATATCATTTATTTGGTGTTTTCAATCAAATATTTGAAGGAAAAATAAAAATTTCATTGTATTTTCTTTATATTGTATAAGAAAAAATATTTTAAAAATAAAAAATTAAAAAAAAAAGAAAAAAGAAAATAATAGTTAGCAGGCCAACCTATCAACCCACCATGGTGGGTTAGAGTTGGCTAAAAGCCAACTCGTCATTACACATGTCTTTTTCAACTCGCACTACTTAACCCTAACCTGTCATGGGGCAACTTGCAACTCACGGGTTGACTCATATTACCACTCCAATTAATGATTAGTCTAAAAAGGCCAGGATTTCATATTTGAATTTGCTCATTAATAACCGCCCCAAAATGCATTATTATCACAGCATAACCATTTTTTTAACCAAAACAACATTATCATTTCAAATCATATAACTTCATTTTTTTAAAAAAAAAATCATGCAGCTTTCTAGACTTCATCATCACCCTTAACTTCACCTGGTGGTCATTTTGATTTCATAATTAGTTTTTTGTTGGTTAATGTAAACCCCTAATCATCATTCTCTTATACTATACTCTTATAGTCCTGTTTATAAGTCACTTCTAGCATGTTTTACATAAATCAAGAAAAATCTTAAAATTTATTAATTCTCATTGAAAATTTAACAACTTTTCAACTTTATCCCTATTTAATATGCATTATACCTCATATAAACAAAGTCAACATAATAATAAATGAATGATAAAATTGTACATCTATACAAAAAATTTCTCTCAGTGCCCTATAAATAAGACCCAAAAATGTCTTCTTTCTCTATCTTATAAATAAAACTAAAGGAGTATCTTGCAAATCATTTAACTATATGGCATGATTTTATTCCAATGTCCATGACAAATCGTTATTAACTTTTAATGGTCAGTTTGTACACGGCTTAATCATCACCATGTTAAATGTGAGTTTTTTTATTGCTTTTTGGTGGTATGGCCATGATGCACACACATAAGCTGTAGGAAAAGCTAGGTTAATTGCTTCATTTTCTTAATTGGCTGTTATGAAAAAAAATTTTAAAAACATTTTCAGAAAAACTCCCACATGGAAATTGGAACGCATCGCATGGAGACTCGAATATATTTGGATTTAAGAGAATAAGAAAAGGGAACGTGTGATCAATACGTTTCGCTAGATCAAACAATCCCTTCAATTTCTTAATCTTATTCTCCCCAATCCTAACTTAACCATAAATTTACCATCAAATCAACAAAAATCCAAGCCAATGACATCCGAATCTAAAGGAGTCATGTTATGTGCATCTAAGTTGCAGAAATCTTTATACACGTGATATTACCTGTTTTTTACACGCCCAATTCAATCCCAATCCCATATTATAGACAAAGAATTTGAATCCCAAACAGAAGCTTCCACTCCCATGTGGATGAACAAAGTATACACTACTCTATTTTGAGCACAACAAGCCCTTGCTTGGCTCTCTCACATCATTGCCTTGTTTCCGCTTCTGCCGCATCTGATTCCTCTAAGGACAAGGGATTCCCCGGCACAGGTTCAATATTCCTCTCAATATCTCCACTTTCAGAAGTCTGAGAGTCACCTTGCCCTAAGCTAAACGTTACCGGTCTCATATGCTTTGTTTCAGAAGAATTCTGCAATGGAAGACGGCATACCGGGCAGGTGGATTGTTTCCTCAGCCACATATCAATACAGGAAAGATGGAAGCTATGACCACATTTTGGCATGATGCGCAGTACCTCTCTTTCTTTGTACTCTGCCAAACAGATCACACACCTGCAGAGGCAAAAGTAGTTCATTTATTCATCAATTTCATTGATTCCTACTACTTGATGAATGTATATAAGGAGGTTCTCTATGACCTGCAAATGAGTGGCCAAACTTAACTGTGTATTTTCACTAGAACTGAAAGCCTCTCGGTTGAACTTCATGGTGGGAATTGCAGTAACAAGAACAGGTTCTGAGCGGTTAACAAGATGTTCTGGCTATCGAAAAACAGTGAGAAATTAAAATTCAAAGCACTCAAGTCAAAGAAACACAGATTATTGTTCTTTGGGGGATAGGGTGAGAGAGAGAATGCCGTTGTAAGGCCTTGATACTAAAGAGATCTCCGGTGAGCGGAAGATTAGGACATACAAATTCATCATTGAAAGACATGAATAAAGCGGCAGAACATGTAATTAAATACAGAGAATAAAGGGGCAGAATATGTAATTAAATACAGAGAACCCGTTGCCATTTCTACGTCTGATGAAATATTATAGCAGCTTCGTTCTATTATCCACCACACTTTTCGAAAGCACGGGTCTAAAGTACACAATTTGGCCCTGAAAATACATTTCCTTACACTCTAATCCATTTTCCCCCCTTTGACAACCATCAAGCCAAGTTGGTCTAGGGTAGCTTTACCAATCTTATTTTTTCTATCCCCAAGGCTCAACTTAAGACCTTATTTAGGAGATATCAATTCTTTTCAACCCAACCCAACCACATAATAGTCGCCGAACTATCTTTTCATATGAATCAGTCACTGAAGTCTAAACTAATTAGCAAGTCATTGAAAATAGAATAAATATACACCAATCTGTATACCGAAGGGACTAACGGGAGTAAATCTATACGTTCACTCAATGGCATCATTCGATCCATATAGCCGACCCCACTTAGTGAGATAAAACTTGGTTGTTGTTGTTCACTCTTGGGATATTGTGTATTTACTATTAAGAAAAAGAATACAACATTTACCTAATTGCATCAGTATCAGAAGTTAAAGAACAATAGAAAGTTGGCGGCTGTCCCAATTCTCATGAGCTTCAAGGTTCGAAGCTAACTTGAATAGCAATGTGGAAGATAGTAGGATCAGCTCAGTTATGGAGGAATCATAACCGTGCACAAATTAGAGATACGCAATTCAAGAAAAGCTGAACAAAGTGCACGAATAAGTGATTTTCACAAGCAAGAGGCGAAGTTAAAATTACCTGTTCTATGTCCATCCTAGGTTCAAATTCAAACATATTATGAGATTCCGAGGACCCTCGCAGCCTTCCACAGATTATTCTTGTACAGACAAACACAATAAAAGTCGCACTCATGCCAAATCCAATTACCGTGGTCACCAAATTGGTGTTTGAGCCCAACATCTCCAATTTCCCCTAACTCACAAAATCAAAAACCAAAACACAAACAGACCCAGAAGCCAAAATCAGAAACCCACTTCGTAGTTCACAGAGAAAAGACGAAAGCGGAACGACCCAGAAACCCCACCAAGAAGTTCAAGAGAAGAAGAGAAATTAATAAGGAGACCCAAAACAGAGAAATAACTCAGAAATGGCGATTTCTGATGCGAGGGAGAAGAATCGAGCAGAGAGAATAAAGACTAGAGATGGAATCGGAGTCGCTTTGGTCTGACTCAAAGCGAATAATGGCATGGATGGCTGCAAAAGAGGACCCGCTTCCATCCATTTCTCTTGCTTCCTTGCTTTGCTAAGGATCGGAGTCGCGGGACCCAATGCCCAATTCCCCTATCAAGGTGGGTGGGCCCACCATATCGACGGTTGAGGGAGGCTGTGGATTTTTGGCGGCAAAATATGTCAACAATAAAAGAGAAAAAAATTAAAAATATAGGTACGGGGCCGGGATGGGACGGGGAGATTCCTTTCTGTGCAATTTTAAGGTACAGAATCTAGCAAGTGTCAAATGTCAACCCCGTCCTCACTCCTCGCGCCTTGCCTCCTCTTTTTTTTTTTTTTTTTTTAGTAACAAAGGCAAGCTACAGCTTGAAGAAGATAAAGCTAGGTACAAGCGGTCCTAGTTAACAGCATGCATAAAACAAAATAATCAGTAGTGTTTCTCATCCTCAGCAATTATCTGCCTGCAAAAGTGAGGGGTCGACGGTACCAGCATCGTTTGGTACGTACTCTGATGTCCCATCTTCGTGCCTCCTCCTTTTGGATAAGTAGCAGATTTGAGGTTGAAAGAATTACGAAATAAAAATATTGTTCATATTGTTAATTAAAAATAACATTGCTTTCTGATTTAAACACAGGAACTTAATAATTAATTTATAGATATTAAAAAAATTAATTAAGTTAATTATTTATATATATGTTGATTTTTCTAAAACACTTTATTTAAGCATTACCATGTTGATAAAAACTCATATTTGACATTTTATATTTAGGGAGTGTTTAGGAAACTCTAGAAGTACTTTTCCGCAAATTAAAACAAACTCATCCACATATTTACTTCGTATACCGTAAAAGCACTTCTAAAATTATAGTTTTGTTCTTATC